ACTGTATCAGGTATCTATCTATCTACTTATCTTCCCCCGTGCTTAAACTGTATCAGGTATCTATCTATCTACTTATCTTCCCCGTGCTTAAACTGCATCAGGTATCTATCTATCTATTTATCTTCCCCCGTGCTTAAACTGTATCAGGTATCTATCTATCCACTTATCTTCCCCCGTGCTTAAACTGTATCAGGTATCTATCTATCTACTTATCTTCTACTTTTATTTTTTAATTGATAAACAAGTCGACAATTTTATTAAGGAAATAGTATTATGTAGTTTACTATTCTTTTACCAAAGCCAAGATCATACCTGCTTTTATTACAATCCGAATATACGCAGATATAAAATAAAATTAGTTTGACAGGGTTAACTTTTTCCATCTAATTTAGCCCAAGTTTTCAATTCAATTATAGATTTTCTAGGTCAACCTACTCTCATCCGAGGACATTAAAATACTTTATATAACAGGCCTTCAAGGCTAGGACAGACTTGGGAAGTTTCCGCTTGGGAATTTGCACTTTTGGGAAGTTGCCACTTGGAAAAATACCCTTTGGAAGTTGCCACGTGTGAAAATGCCCTTGGGAAAGTCCATCTTATTACCACTTTCTTGAAAATCAACGGTGAAAGTGAAATTGGTTTTTGTACACTGAACAATAGTATAGTGCTTCATGTTCTTGGGGCTTATAAAAGTCATAATTTGAGTCTTACAGTCGTCTTTCATTCCACAGTTCTATGGGTCTATCTGTACTTCTTATTTGTGCAGGTGCTATGTTTGTGGTGGTAATTCTGGGATGTCCTGTAAGGGCCCCGAGATGGATAAGGTAATTGTTTTAATATAAATCTTGGTTTCAAGGGATTTCAGAAATGAATCATGAGTCTTTGTCACAAACCCAAACTTTCCGTTCTTCATATCTTTGCACCTCGATGGTGTAAACGAAGATTAATTGTTCTAAAAGATCTCATAGTTTGAAATATCAAAGGTCTATAACATTGAATTGCAAAGATATAGGGATTTAAACATCAGTTTTTATGGAAAAGACTCAATTCCTTTTAAAACGACTGAACCCATTGGACAAACATTTTTTTGTGGGACCAATCATAAATCCAGAGAGGTGTACAATTTTTGGTGAGAATTTAATGATAATTAGAAGATTTTTCAAATCAATTCAAATCATTTCTTTCTCAAGAAAAACAATATTTATGAATTTACAATATATAAAATAATATTTTCCATACCAAGCGGACTCAATAGCCTGGAGCTGTTTATAGCTGTGGCCCCCTGTTAACCAAATTATTTCATTGATTTATAAAAAAATCAAAAATCAAAACATACAAAAGAAATAAGGAGAAAAAAATGTGCAGCATAAATCAAAGGTGGGGAATGGAGACAGAGAGGGATTCATAACGTAAACAGAGAGTAATTAATATATTTGACCTGCCTTCTCGGTGAAACACGCACCCCACAACCCCAATCCCCTCAAATCTATTTTTTTTTAATTTTTAAAATAAAAAAGATAAGATTCATGCACTTGCAGATGACTTTAAAGAATGTCTGAGGTTTAGTGATTTTATAATTAAGACATCTAATTATGCTTGTACCAAAATGGTTGAATAAATTAATTTAATCAAAAGAATGGTAAGATTTCAATTAAAACGCTGCGACTAACTTATTTTATGCATAGCGGATTTGCAACAAGAAAAATACCATAAACTCCGTTAGAAAAGCTATTTGAAATAATAAGATTTGTTCGATATTTTATTTTATTTACTAAGATTCTCTTAGTAATTTTGAACAAAACTTTCAGAAAAGAAAATGTTCGTTATTCCGACATTTAAAGCATTTAAAATGTGCAACTGTGTCTTTCATATATTTAAAATCAAATAGGTTGTGTACAACTAAACCAGATAAAAAAATGTGCAATTGTGCCCTTGTTCATATATTTAAAATCAAATAGATTATTCAACTAAGCCAGTTAAAAAAATGTGCAATTGTGCTCTTGTTCACATATTTAAAATCAAATAGATTGTACAACTAAGCCAGATAAAAAATAATGTACAATTTTGCTCTTGTTTACATATTTAAAATCAAATAGATTCTTCAACTAAACCAGTTAAAAAATGTGTAATTGTGCTCTTGTTCACATATTTAAAATCAAATAGATTGTTCAACTAAGTCAGTTGAAAAAATGTGCAATTGCGCTCTTGTTCACATATTCAAAATCAAATAGATTGTTCAACCAAGCCAGTTAAAAAAATTTGCAATTGTGCTCTTGTTCACATATTTAAAATCAAATAGATTGTTTAACTAAGTCAGTTAAAAAAATGTGCAATTGTGCTTTTGTTCACATATTTAGAATTAAATAGATTGTTCAACTAAGTCAGTTAAAAATATGTGCAATTGTGCTCTTGTTTACATATTTAAAATCTAATAGATTGTACAACCAAGCCAGTTAAAAAAATTTGCAATTGTGCTCTTGTTCACATATTTAAAATCAAATAGATTGTACAACTAAGCCAGATAAAAAAATGTACCCTTGTGCTCTTGTATACATATTTAGAATTAAATAGATTGTTCAACTAAGCCAGTTAAAAAAATGTACAATTGTGCTCTTGTTCACATATTTAAAATCAAATAGATTGTACTACTGAGCCAGATAAAAAAAATGTGCAATTGTGCTCTTGTTCACATATTTAAAATCAAATAGATTGTACAACTAAGTCAGTTAAAAAAATGTGCAATTGTGCTCTTGTTCACATATTTAAAATCAAATAGATTGTTCAACTAAGTCAGTTAAAAAAATGTGCAATTGTGCCCTTGTTCACATATTTAAAATCAAATAGATTGTTCAACTAAGCCAGTTAAAAAAATGTGCAATTGTGCTCTTGTTCACATATTTAAAATCAAATAGATTGTACAACTAAGTCAGTTAAAAAAATGTACCCTTGTGCTCTTGTTCACATATTTAAAATTAAATAGATTGTTCAACTAAGTCAGTTAAAAAATGTGCAATTGTGCTCTTGTTCACATATTTAAAATAAAATAGATTGTTCAACTATGCCAGATAAAAAATGTGCAATTGTGCTCTTGTTCACATATTTAAAATCTAATAGATTGTTCAACTAAGCCAGTTAAAAAAATGTGCAATCGTGCTCTTGTTCACATATTTAAAATCAAATAGATTGTTCAACTAAGTCAGTTAAAAAAATGTGCAATTGTGCTCTTGTTCACATATTTAAAATCAAATAGATTGTTCAACTAAGCCAGTTAAAAAAATGTGCAATTGTGCCCTTGTTTACATATTTAAAATCAAATAGATTATACAACTAAGCCAGTTTTTAAAAAGTCTTTGTCGGAGTTTATATTTGAATAACAAATATTGAAATTGTACGTTTAAACCCGATTAAAATACGAGATTCCATCCCTGAATTAAAAAAAAATGTTGAATTATGAATCATGAATGTTAGAATTAAATAGATTGTTCAACCAAGCCAGATTTTAAAAAGTCTTAAAGAAAGAATTTGTTGAAGTTTATATTTCAATGATAAAATATTGACATTGTGCTTTAATTCATATGTACGTTAACACCGGATTAAAATACGAGATTCAATTCCTGATTTTAACAAAAAATGTTGTGTATTTATTTTAAACTTAAAAAACCAAGAAGTGGATTATGCCCTGAATAAAAGTTTTCAAACTAAAACACAAAATTTCGTGACATTAATATAATTGCATGGTATTTACTAAAGTGAGGAGGGGAGGGAAGAGTTCAAACAGAGTTGAAGTTGCGCAATGTTCCGAAGTTTGTATTTGAATGCAATTTTAAAACTTTTATAACTTAATAGCAGTTGCTTGAATTGGTCTTGAAAAAGTTACTGTAAACATAATTAACTTGTTTATATAAATAATTTATTGTAAACATAATTAACTTGTTTATATAATTAATTTATTGTAA